AAACTTGAAAATGAACACAAACCCAACTTTGTGAGTATCGTATGATCAGCGCAGTAGAACCACACGTTTAGCTCGTGTGCTTTTCGTATGAAAGCCTGTTTCCACCAGACAGAACAGCAGAGCTTTATTCATCTGTTTCAGGTTCAAACTGAGACTAATTAGGTCAAAATAATGACTGAGCGTGTGACCTGGCGAGAAAGTGAGTGATTATTTCATCATCATCATCATCATCATGAGTAATTATTTAGAGAAAGTAAGACATTCATTCGAGGAGATTAAGTCATTATCTTCCTTTCTGTTTGGAAACACGTTCATTTTGGGCTGCAGGAGACGAGCGGAACCTCAGTTCTGTGAGTGCGTCTGGAAACTGTGTGAAACTGTAAATTCCTTAATTTCAGGGCTCTCAGGTCGTTTGGGAACTGTATGATTTTGAGTGTAAACACATCAGACTGTAACTGAGATTTCTGCTACAGCACTAACGTAAACCGCAGCACGTACAGTAATGATGCAGTGAGGCGTAGCTGCAGTGAAGCGGAGATCACGGAGTCTCAGTATGTGCTGTAACATTCGTTGGGAAAAGTGTCAGATCATTATTAATCTGATAAATGTAGACCTGCTGTTTGATCGCGCTGGAGAAGAAACAAACTTTCAGAAAATAACATCTCTAAACATCTTTAAACATCACTTTTTCTAAAACTGTGGTTTCATTTTTATTTCCTTCACTAAATTAAGAATAATGTGACCTGGGAGGGGTTTAGAAGCGTTTCTGTCCATCGAAAATAAAACTGTGTTTGAAAAAGTCTGTATTTTCTCTCTGAACACAAACAGTCTCTGAGTTAGAGCTGGAATAAGCTGATCTTCTCTGAGTCAGTGTTTACGGTCAGTGTTGGTCATTATAATAATCTCCCAGCATTCAGCTCTGTGAGAGGACAACTGCTGTAAATGCACATGCAAATGAGGCAAAAGTGACCACCCCTTCGATATTACTGTGGACACCGTACACTCTTAAAAAAGATGGTGCTTTGAGGGTTCTTTAGAAAAGAAAATGGTTCTATATAGAACCATGAATGCTCAAAGAACACTTTGTGTGGTTAAAGAGTTCTTTGCATCATGAAATGGTTCTTCAGATTGATGTAGAATGTGCTGTATAGGGTTCTATATAGGACCTTTCTGATATAGAACCATCTACAGTACTTTCTCCATCAATCTGAAGAACGCTTTAAGATGCAGAGAACCCTTTAAGCATGCAAATGGTTCTCTCAGTGCTCATGGTTCTAAAAAAAACTCTTGAAGAACCATTTCTTTAAGAGTGTAGGGCTGCTGAGCTTATTTAGTGAATCAGTCCCTTTTTAACACCAGAGTGGAGTTTGTGTGCAGAACGTTAGTAAATTTGTCCATTGTAGTTCTAATTTCTTAGGAATTCCTCAGTTTCCCTCATTTATCTAGTACGTTCTGCATTTTAAAGTGAATGAAAATGACCACTGACCATTTTAATGCTTTTTAGGAATATAAAACGTACACAGAGATGATATCCTGCTTCATAATTCCTGCTGGTTATTATAAAGGGCTATTATAGGCCATTATGCTCATTAATGTAAAAACGCTAATGGTTGTGTTACATCATTGTTATTGTTTGTGTTGATGCTGCTCCTGTTGTGAATCAGAGCTATTGTACGTCTCATTTCTGAAAACTGGAGCATGAGCTGCTCTCCAGTCTGTCCTCGTTCTCTGGGCTGTTTTTCCCCTCGATGTACTTTTCATCTTCCTTTCAGAACTGAGGAGGAACTTCTCCCTCTTTTCAAACCCTGAGCAGGAACCAGAGTGAGATGTTGGCACGCTGGTGGTCCCATAAGGCAGTTCTGAGTCCAGCTGTGTGACCTCTTTATGATTCACTTCATGCTTGATTGATTAATCAGAGAAGCTGTAGGAAGTGGCTTCCAGTGCGGTGGAATCAGGAAAACCGTCTTATTATGAAATACGTCACTGTCGGAATAAAACTGATTTCCACAGTTAATGGACCAGAATAAACAAAATAATATTATTATATTATTATTATATTATTATTATTAGTATATAATATAATTAATATTAATATCTCAATAAAATCTTGTTACATTAATTTAAAAGTTCAGTAAATTGAAAGTTAAGAATGTTTTTGCCTCCATTTTGGAGTTTTCTGACGGTGATGAAGAGCATGTCAGCGTCTCTGGAAAGTCTCTGATAAGATTCTCTGATAACGACACAGAGCTGATGTTAAAGAACAACAGTCAGTGGATCTGATTCAGTGGGACGTAGACTGATCTTCTGAGCTCGGCTCTTCAGCTCCAGTCAAAAGTTTAGATCCACCTGACTGAACTGTTTTTCATGATTTTAAAGATGTTCAGGATGTGAATGTTGTCTGATTATTGCACCTCTACAATGATCAGAAATGGATCAGGCCTTTATAATCAATACTGGATCCATTAAAATATGTCTGAGACCCTGTTTACATCTGGCCACTTCATGCATGTTGAGTATCAGGATTATATCTGGATGAGACACAAAAAAAAGTGTAAACGCAGCCAAGAGGCATTTAAACAGATACAGATCTGATCTCTCAGATCTGCTTCAGGAGGTGAACTGAGACGAACTTGAGCCACGTTATAGCAGCATAAACACATCCGTCTCTCCAAGGTACATTCAACCCCCAAAACTCCTCCCAGTACAACCAGAACTCCTCCCAGTACAACCCAAACCTGTACCAGTACGACCAAACTCCACCCAGTACAACCAAAACCCCTCCTGGTACAACCAAAACTCCTCCCCATGCAGTGCGTCACTGAGTTTGTGATCCGTGTCTGTGAGGAAGATGATCATGAAGGTTGGGGATGAAATGAAATGCTTAATAGCAACACAGAGAGACACAACTGTACAAAACACACTGCAGACCGTGAGTTCCTGTACGTCTTCAGTTTTACCAATTACAGATTGTTTATCTGTGCAAACATGAGGCTAAAATCTAATCAGGACACAATCCTGATAGCAGACACAGGAAGTGACCAGGTGTAAACGGGGTCTTAATGCCTCTGATCATCGGATCAGGTCAGAACATCCCTACTCAGAATTTGAGACAGCACGTATGGAATAACAGAGACCTACAAAAAACGCTGTCAAACGCTGTCAAACACTGTTAAACGCTGTTAAGCGCTGTTAAACGCTGTTAAACGCTGTTAAGCGCTGTTAAACGCTGTTAAACGCTGTTAAACGCTGTCAAACACTGTTAAACGCTGTTAAGCGCTGTTAAACGCTGTTAAACGCTGTTAAGCGCTGTTAAACGCTGTTAAACGCTGTTAAGCGCTGTTAAACGCTGTTAAACGCTTCCTAAATCTGAACCTTAGTTTATATATTTTAACAGTTTATATATTTACAAGCTGTTTAACAGTAAATTAATCCGCTCTAATTCTAATTAATAGCATTTATCACCTTTCACACATCACCATCGGGTTACTTGCTGATATCCAATTAGATCTCCCTATTGCCCAGTCCCAGTCTGGACATCTCTGCTTCTTTATCCTCAGTCCAGACAAAGCACTGTAACAAAGCCCCCCAGCACCACACTGAGCTGCAGACCTACAGAAGCAGAGCTTTTCTCCACCGGCCTGTTTTTCTCTCCTTTTTCCAAAACCATCTCGCGCCTCTGTGGGCAGCTTTCAGAGGGACAGGAACGGGACAGCAGGTCAGCGGGGCTTGTTTTTCAGCTTTTGTGCCTCGCAGGGAGGGATGTGGACCAGAGAGAAGGATGATTATCCCTCTGTGGTCAGAACACCTGCAGCTCCTGAAAATGATCTCGCTCCGCTGCAGGTAGAGCAGGGCAGTCTGAGTGAGAGTGGAAGTGACTCTGAGGGTCGGCGTTGTGGCTCTGGTAGGAAATTAAGTCGTCTGGATGGAAGTTTAGCTGCTTCACACTTCAAATAAACCGCCTGCCCGTCTGTGTGGAGCCGCCACGAACTGACAGAGTTACTGTCACTGACCTACAGAGCAAAACCTTCCACTGGACACATGAGGAACAGGCAGGAGATCATGACCGACTCTGTCCTGATTCAGCAGAGTGAAGATCTGACCAGGATATGTGTCACACTGTCTGTGTTTGCATGCAAAGATTTTTGCCAATCTGATTTAACACATTCTGATTACAGATTCAGACTGAGGTGTTTATCTCACTCTACTTCACAGTCTGATGGAGAATCTCAGTTTACATGCTCACTACAAGTAATCAGATCCAAAATGACGCGCATGCAGTGATTTTAGTTGCTTTAAAATGATGTCAGACTCAGGAAAACGTCCTTCACATGTCCTTATTGAAGAAGGCCGAGAGGAAGACGTACAAGTAGAAGTATTAAGTTCAGCTAAAGCACAAAAGTACTTCCTTTCAAATGTGCTTAAGTATTAAAAATGGATTTTCTGTGAGTTATTACGGTTGTTCTGTTTTATTGTTTTGATGAGCAGTTATTAAGGAGACCCTTAATGAAAAACAGAGATAGCTGTTCCATTCTGCAGCGAAGAAACAGAACATTTCTAAAATTAGCAGAAGCTCTCAGTAGAGGGTGTATTAACTTATTCTCACTTAGAAAATGAACAAAGCGTGCAGTTTGACCAGGGCTACTCAAACTGTACAGTGTCAAACCTCCTTAATGGAAACTGTGCTTTTGTACTTGGACTGAATGTGGTGTTATTAACAGGGCCTCTGCTTTATAAGTGCTTATACTTGGTAATGATGCGTCATAACAGTGTTCTAAATAGAACGAGTGGGTGTCAGTTTAAGACCCCTTACATCAATACTTCATAAAGTGTCTAAGCTGTTCATAAACACTCAAGTATTGCTTTATAAATGCTCATTCAGTGCTTATGTCTGTGTAATGAAGTGTAGTAATCTCTGTAATCATGAGTTGTGAATGAGCTCCACGCTGCTCTAAACAGACATTTATGTTTTCCTCTCCTCCTCTTCTCCTCTTCTCTTGTAGTATCACGGTGGCGATGAGGGGTCAGCCTCGTCTGGATCTGATGGACAGTGTGCAGGTGTACTACGCGGGCGCTGCTCTCCTGGCCGTGGGCTCTCTGTTCGTCATCAGTAGCTTCCTGGCCTTGGGCTTCACTGGGACCTTCCTGGGTACGTCGCTCATCTTCACTCTCACTCATATTTCTCACTCTCATTCATGTTTATTAGGCCTGTCACAGCTATCACACGGTCACCTGATCGCAATTATTCAAGCTAATTTTAGTCATTTTTCTGTTGTTCATATCGATGCTCTCGGAAGAAAACCTCGTATCTCCAAAATGGTAACTTTACAGGAGAAGGAAAAAACAAACTTTACTTTTAATGTAAGTCAATGGAACCAGACTTTTTTCCAAGTCATTTTGGGTCGTTTCTTTTGGTCCATTCATCATGAAATTTACACACAATGTAAAGGGCAACAGGCATTTTCAAATTATACCACTAACTGAAAAATGGGGATTCAAGGTTTTGTTCCGACAGCAATGATATGTTTGTCACAACGAATGTGTGTGAATTGGTTGCGTTTTCATCTGTTAGAAGCAAATGTAAACAAAGGCAAGCAGGAAACATGTTTTTCCAGTTTCCTCTGTATCCAGTTGCACCCACTAGTCAGGTCTTCCCCCAGTCACACGATACCCTCAGCTGTTACGTGGCCTGCGCTGGCCAGCATCACGCTGAGTGATGGGCGAGAAAGGGGATGCACGAATGGCTTTAACATCACTGGGGATCGAACTCACGATCTCCTGATGATGGGACCAACCCTTAGACCTCACGCCACTCGGGAGCTCCAGCAGAAGACATGTTGATTGAGACGGTTTACGGGTTTTACGAAAACAGTAAAAAATGACTCCTGTGCAGTGCTGGAAGACGTGTGGGGGGCAGCAGTGAGTGGTGTTTGCTTGAGCTCGAGCTGCGCCTGTTGTCAGTCGTTAGAGAGCTACTGTTCTTAATTCAACCAGGAAAAAAAAAATAAAAATCTCTTTTTCAGGCCAAGATGGGCAGCAACACATCAGTCGCACAGACAAATAACACATTACAAACACAAAACAGGATAATCAATAATCAGCACTGAGAGTTTTACCCTCTGACACTGTTTGAAGAATGTTTTTAAAACTGTTGAATGATACAATTTCCTGAAATTTGAAATCTTTCTGTAACTAATTCCAGTCAGACAGTGCAGAATAACTAAAAGCTTGTTTTCCTAGTTCAGGGCGTACGGTGCGGATTTTAAGGAGATGTTTTGAAAGCGCTGATCATAATTCCCAGGTTTTTTTGGTATGTAAAATCTCACAGATTAGAAAGTAATGAAGCCAAGTATTGATTTATATATTAAAATATGTATGATGTACTGTGAATCAGCCTGTGTGGTCAGTGAGGACAGAGCTGCTCTCTCGTAGTGAACACAGTGGAGAGAAACCGACAGTAATAAATCCTGAAGCACCTTGACAGACAGTGTCTGATATGCATAAACAGTATAATGGTGCGTGCATGTAAAGGAAAAAAGTAGCAGAAACAAGTTTATTTTTAGCTTTGAAAGATAAATAAGACTTATTCCTAAAATAAATTAGGTATTTTAATCACAGTCTCCTGATGAGAGGACCAGCACTAAGAGGTTACAAGCATTGCTTCTCGTTTCTTTACAGCTAGAAGGTAAGAAAACTAATCAACTAATTTGGTGTGCAATGAATAACGAAAGACAATTAAATCGTTAATCACAATCATTTATGTGGCAATTAATCATCAGCTAAAATGTCATGATCGTGACAGGCCTGGTGTTCATTCACTTATTCGTCTCATTGAATTGGCCTCTGGATTCTCCCTCCACTGGTGTAACTCACACTGGGATCATGTCTCCACCACTTTTTAAAGCTGCGCTATGTAAATCTTTTTTAATTAAAACTAAAAGCTCGTTACTGAGTGACGAGAAGATAAACAGGCTAAAACATGCTGAGTGTGTTCTGCTGAGAGTCGCCTGTAAAGCCTGAAATAATCATTTAAACTCAGAGGCGTCGAGTTTTTCACTCCACATCGTACGTCTTTACGTATTAACGTCACTCTCAGACTCTAAAAGAAGGTCCGACTCGATGTTTCAGCCTCAAATGATCTCAGAATCAACATCACACTGATGAAGATGTGATGATAATAGTAGATAATTCAGTCACATCCTCAGAGACACTCCTTCACCGAGTTTACACTGAGTTCTCTCTGAGTTCTCGTTCTCCTGCAGTTACACATTTCCACCAGAGAGGTCTCCAGATGCCCCAAACACAGTGAAGCTTAAAGAAATGTAGTTTGACCAAAAAGTACTGTGTTTTGAAATAAATGGAGTGAAAGTGGTTGTTTGTGGTGGACACAGGCTTTTGGACTTGTTTTAAACGTCCGTTTAGGCCATGCGAGCTGGTTTATGAGTCGTCTGTGTGAATCACTCTGTCCTCTCAGGCCCACACGCTCTGACATTTCCACCACAGGCTTTAATGCTGGTGCTCCTGACCCTCTGATCTGTGTCCACCTCAGACCATAATGGCCTGCTAGGAGGACGCGGCGAACATATAAAGTGGTTGCCCATATTCACTCCTCCGTGACTGACCCTGTGGGACCCCCGCTGAGACATTGCACGGCCCACCTGGCTGGCGTTAAGGTGTCGTGGTGCCTGTGCCTGAAAAGTGGAGGCAGAACAGAAGAACAGAGTGATTTTCACTGATTTTACACTTTAAACACTGATTTTAATACAGTCGTTATTACGCTTCACGTTTCAGTACACTTGCAGCGCGTTACAGCGCGGGGTGCAGAAGTTGATCAGTTTTACATGCTGTTGATTTTCTGTGTGTGAATAAGTAAACACATCCACTACATAGACACAGTACTGTACATTTTAATACACAGTTACTGTTTATTTACTGGATTCAACACAATGGCAAACAAAATAAACCATAAAAATGACCTGTGCAGAAGTTATGACACATTTAATGATAAAATTTTATAATAACGATAGCTTTATAATTACCTAATCATGGACTAATTAGGTATTCAGAGTTATTCATCATTAATTAATACATTAACATTATATTATAACAGAAGCAAAAGCTTTGACTTCACGATGGAATAAGAGCTTCTGCTTCTTAGTGAACTAATGAGGAATTATCATGATCAAACAGTCCACATGTCAATATACATCTGTGTTTATATTACTTTTAATCTATGAATGATGAACAAATCAGAAATTATTCACTACTAGCTTATATTTTTTTCCAAAAACAATAACATTTCTCAGTTTCAACATTAGATTTGTTGTCTTTGTACTATTTTCAACAAAATATAGGGTTTAAATGATTTACACATCATTGTGTTTTATTTTTACATTTTGCACAGCGTCCCAACTTTTTTGGAAACAGAGGTGTAATAGAAATCAGTGTGCAGGTGCTTAAAGTACATGTGCTTTGTGTGAAGCAAAAGAAAAGAGATTAAATTTCTGATGATTTATCAGTCTTTGATAACTGACTGTGCACAGATTCAGACTGAGATCAGGCAGAAAAACGCTGGAGAGTTAATTTATCTCAGCAGGATCCGCTACAGTCAGTTCTGCGCTCTAGAACCGGGACTGAGTTGGAACAGTAAGTAATAAATGTCAGATGTAGATGATGAAGTGTGGAGTGATATTACTCAGTGAGATAAATCAGAGTCTGATATTTAAAAACTCTGAAGATTTATATGTTCAGTAGTTCACTGCTCTGGATCTGAACTGATTAAATTCTGTTTAATCTCACTGTCATTATCTTGCCAAGTGAACTAAGTGATCTAAGATGTAATAGATACAGCTCGTGTTCCTCATGCTGAGACTGTAGAAACCCTGTTTTAAGATGATTTAACTTAATTATAGACATATTTACTCGTTATATGTGATTTTAAATCTCCTCACTATAATGGCAGAGAGGAAATATGCTTGAAACAAGCCAAATTATCTGCTCATACAGTGAGAGTTTCACTGACTAAAATCACTAAAATAAGTAAAAATGTCTCGAAATGAGTTACTTAATCTTATAATGAGACACAATGAGAAATATTAGCCGTATTAACTTGATTTGAGATCTTTTGATTGCTGAGAGACCGTGTTCTGCAGTGCAGCTAATGATGGTGTTTTTACAGACTGAGCCCTGTTTTGGTTTCGGCTCTGACTGAATGTTATCAGAAATGTGATAAAGCTCTAATAACAGCCTCAGTAAAGCTGTTGCTGTGATTTACGACGCGAAGAGCAAATGTTTAAACTCGGTCAGTTTCCCGTACGACTCTCATTTCACACATTCCAGTTAATCTCAGTATAAATTGTGACCATTAAGCCGTCACAGGCCTGAACCATCTGCACGGCTGCTGCACGGCGTCGCTTTAGTGGCGTTAAATGTGAACAGAAGTGCAATGAGGAACCGCATTACAGTCTTTAGGCCTCTTTTAGAGTCATTAGTTTTACAGCTCCCAAATTTAGAGCCGTACTCATTTTACAGACCAGTGCTGGACACTGACCTCCTGTCCTCTATGACTGAGATTCCCTCAGAGCTGATTCCAGAGAGCTGCAGTAACACACCTTAAACAGCCAACAGTGATACAGCTGTGAGTCTGTGTTAATCTGCAGAGCTGGAGCCGCTACAGGAGACTCTAAACCTCGCTCACTGGAGTCACTCGGTCATTTAAACTTTTCATCTCCAACCATCTTCAGACAGGCTGCAGCTGTTTCAGCTGAGTTTAACACGTCTCGTCTCCTTTTTGTTTAATTTACCTTGTTTTCAATCATCAACATTTTATTGTATTTTATTGCATTTTATCTGGCTCAGTAGAATCTTACTTTGATCTTAGTTCTATTACCATTGTTTTTTATTTATTTATTCATTTTAATTTTTTTTTAATAATACTTTTACTTGACTGTTTCAAATTTTGGTTTGCCTTATTTTTCCTTTTTGTTTTTTTTATTGGTTTATTAACTCAGTTTTATTTTATTTTATGCCTTCTGTGTTAAATCTTAATTGTTCTCTTATTTTTTCCCATTTCCCATCATGTTTGGTTTTGTTTGATTTTACTGTTATTTTGTTCATGTTGTTCTGTTCATTTTAGTTTAACCTGATTAA